AGGGAGGGAGGGAAAGGAAAAATAATTCTGATTTAGATCTAAAAGTAGTGCCCTTCAGGCAGTTTTCTTTGGGGTAGGATGAGATAGCCCAGGGTGATGTTGACTTAACTATATAAGAAGTGCCTGGCGCAGAACAGATGCTCACTAAATCATTAACAGTATCTAATCTTGATGTTGAGGACAATTGCTAATTGAGAGGGGCACAAATATATTCTTTCAGGTAATTCCTTGTAACCCAAGGTTTGCATAATTTCTGCTTGTTATCCTAAATAACAGAATTCCTTTAAGTCTCTGTTCTTTCATGCATCTAGAGAGAGGTGATCCATGTGCTTTGGCATATAGCAGCATGCACCACAATGGAAAACTAAGATTCAGTGTGTCTGTGTTAATAGCAGGTGTAGCATGACCTAGAGTGAAAAGAAGAGGTAACTAGAGTAGGTCCCCATGTAACTGTTCTTGTCATAGGTATCTAGCTGATCTCAGCTCACGTCCTAAAATACGAGATTAGGACACTGAACTTTTTATGGTACTATATGAATCATTTATTTCAATGCTGCTCTCCATACCCTTTATCAGATATGCACCTATCAGATACATCCATGTTGTGGTTGTGTATAAAAATAGTGATATGGTTATTTTAATCTTGTTTTCCATTGAAAAAGACTGTTTGATTTCAACTAACCAGTTATTACAGCAAAATGGTCCAGCTAATCTTAGTCCCTAATGTGATTGTACATTTGTAGCTCCTTCCATTAATAAAGGTTCTTATTTATGGACTGGTATAAAAGGAGAGCAAAACATAAATATGCTGGGAATGATGGGAATATATATATAAGTATTAAAAAACATTGCCTAATTGAATGACAATAATTTTATTTCCCTTGTTGCTTTTACATAACAGCCATATTTTGTGTAACATCCTAGAAGGTTGAGTAATTATTTCTTTGCGTATAAAATAGATTCGAATCCTTGGAGTCCTGCATTAAGCTTTGTAATGATGATGGTAAGTAACATAATGATAGAATACCTTAACTGGGGTTAGTGCAGAGGCGAATCTAAATAATATATGTCGTCCAGTTTCAACCATTTGAATTTTCTAATGAAAAGTAGCATATCAAATGTGATAGGCTTTCATTCAATGCCCCAGAGGTGACAAGTACTTTCAAGTTTATCCAGGTAGATTTCTCACGGGTCATATTTTCCATTCAGTGCAATTATTTCTGATGCTTCTTTAGTAGTTATTGGGAAATAACCCAGAGTAGTAGTTTGTGTTTAGTTAGTTAATCTTACTTGCGATGTATAATGATAGTATTATTTCATCACTCCACTTAAATGAAAGGTTACATTGAACTAGTTTGTAAACACGTTCTTGTTTTGTGACCTTGGACATACACGATAACAACTTTGTTTTTGTGCCTCAATAAAAAAAAAAGAATACCATATTATTAAATGCAAAATCTTGAAAACTTCTGTGAGTGAAATATCACAGAGTAGCCTCAGAGACAAGCTAGAGCAACAGGCCGGTGTGCTCACCTGTCCTGTCCTGGTCGTGCTTTTTAACAGGCCTTAGGAGTGTGATGCCCTGAAAGCTCCGTACTGCTGAGCTGATAGAGACCTTTCCTCCTCAGGGAAGACCCACTGGCATTCGAATTGTTAGGCATGACAAAAGGTCTCCCTTGCACATATGTCTCCAAAATTAGCTTACCTGCAGAGTTTTTGCTTGTTTTTATCTTACAGATCCCCTATGCAGCAAGCTTGATCAGGAAAGAAAAGCTTGGTGCCCATCTCAGCAAAAGTTAAACGGTGAGTTTGCCGGAGGGAAGAGATTTTCCCGAACTCCCTGATTGTATTGGTTGGCCAGGTTCTTTATTGATGTCCTTGAAACAGCCCAATAGGTTGGTAAAGCTGTATCCTGTGTTTAAGCCGGTACACTAATGAACTTCATTGTTTCTGGGCATGAGACTTCCTAAATGAACGGCTAAGTGGGTCTTATAAATTCTATGGAAATTTTATACAATGAAAGAAGTTCTCTATTCAGTCTGTAGGAATGATCTTCATTCTGTTTTGAGGTTTTCTGCTGTTTCTGGTCCTACCTGACACCCTGGTTACTGCCCCTCGAGAGTAATTACTGCCCCTGGAGTGTCAAGTCATGCTTAGTGTCTCATCTTCTTAGGCTTGCTCTTGCTTCCAAAGAGTCTTCCTTAAATCTGACTTTGAGTGAATTACTGATAGGTGGTGAGGTGACCACTATAGACCTGTGAGAGCTTCTGCTTCTCTT